ACATTTTTGTTGCAATTTGTATATGATACTATGCCAAATTAAAAAGTTCTTGCCTGCGCAAATTGGCATCTGTTTTACCTGCGGTAGATTATAAAGTAATCATCATTATCGTCTCGGCTATCTTTAGTTCAATTTTTTTGGACGGCCAGTCACAGTGAGATAGCCAGTTGTTGTCATTTTAACAGCAGCTAACCTACGCCTCCACGGCGTTGGGTCACGCGGCAAAAAGCCACTTAAAGTCATTACAGGCTGTGGAAAACATAGCCCTCCGCACGGCCACCGACGCGCCCTGGTACGTAAGAAACACTGACATATTACGGACTTACAATACACAAACGCTACACAGACAATAAGACAAAACGCGGAGAAACGGTTTGACGTAGCCGCTAGACATGACAATCCCCTCCTCAGGCAAGCCGTTGACTACGTACCCGACGTGACTGACAAACACAAAAGACCTAGACACCAACTTTTTGACCCTGGGTGACCACCCCAACGATACCCCCCCTGCCCGCTAACCTTTTCTGTTTCAGAGACAGCCAGGATCAAGAAACGAAGACAACGACACACACACACACACACACATACACACCCCCCATACCCTCCTTAACCCTCCCCTCCCGCGCTAGCCTAAGGGGCACCTTAGCAAAGCGCATCCCAGGCTGCATAGCCGCACCGCCCTACTCAACCATACCACACATAAACATGACACCACCCCCGGGGTTTACATAGACGAGCCGGCGAAGCAAGAAGAGCGCTAGAAGAAAGGGCACTAGCCGGCGGGGCCCAGCCAGGACAAAAGGAGGTCCCACAAAGCGCCTACACCGGCCGCATTTGCGGTCGGGGTAGACGACGGATGGGGCCCACCTACGAAGGCTGTCCAGGCCTACACGAGATGAGGCAGGATAAAGAGGGATAATCCCCCTCGATCCCAAATCATTGAGGCCAATTTCTAGCCATGGAATAATGGCGCGTTGTCATTTAATGTCAGTGGTATTTCGATTTTGGTATTATGAAATCGACCTTCTTGTATTATATGTTTTGTGGTTTCACCTTTACAATTATGTTAAATTAGCATTATCAATAAGATAAATGTTGTGGAGATTACAGTAATGACGGAATATTAACAAATTTATTTATTTTTCACCAAGAACATATACATATTAGATATTAGTAATTGACTTAAAATATATTGACAGCGTCACCTCATTCTTAACTCAAATATGAAGAAAATCTAAAAAATGCTGCTTTTTATAATCCATTTCTTGAACACTGAACCCTTCGAGCATATACTACTGGAGGTAGCATATGCCGTTGCGAAAAGTGTGACGGAGTGTGCGAGAGAGACAGACAATATCTCAGTACATGCTGTCTCACTCTAGCACGCACGCGATTGGTTGTAAATTAATGCTTGTGCTCATTGTCTCCCGCAGGGCACCCGTCGTTGAAGCGAAGAATGAGACAGCAGGTACTGAGATGCTGTATGTCTCTCTCGCACGCTTAGTCACACTGTTCGCAATGGCATGCTACATGCTACCACCAGTAGTATATGTATATGTATATGCTATTTAATTTAAAATTAAATAAACCCGTAAAAAATGCCGATAATACAGTTAAATTCATAATTAAAATGCTTACAATAAGGTAAATCTCGGTGAAATATAAATAACTGCATTTGTAAAAAATATTATAAACATCGACCTACAATGGGTGTACTTATCCATACACAAATTCTGCATCTTGTACTAATACTACTAATTCAGTTACTGCTCTACTTTGTGTAGAAACCACAGACCACCTATATATACTGGCCGTATCTAATTCCAATGCACGGGTACCAGTGAATGCAAAACCGGGGAAGTGGAGTGTGGAAGCCAATCTGATCGCGCGCATCTTTAAGCAGATCCGGATTAAGTAATATTTTTATTACATATTAAACATTATATTGCATCTTATGACAAATATTCAATTTTAAGTTTGTAATTCAGAAAATATTATATTTTAGTGTCATATTAAACAAAACTACAAAATAATTTAAATATATTTATTATCCTCTAAATAATATTAATTTATTTAATATTTGTCTTTTCGTAGATTTTACCGAATTAAATAATTTGACTTCATGATTTATTCGTACATCGATATACTTTTCACATTCAGCCCTTACAAGTTCTATTAAATGATTACAATTGTTAGGCAAATTATCAAATTGATGTTCATGCAAATTTTCAAATATGTTCACATTCAGAAA